TGACCAATGTGACCTTTATTTTATTATTGTTTTGTTTTGCAAAGAAGCTGGAGCACATTTGGTAAAAGTTTTAAATGTGTGAAATGTCTATGTGAAAGTAAACACAAAATATCTGCAGGACCTTGTTTGATTTTCATTGTCATGTTTCTGTTCTGCTCGTATCTGGTGCAAATATCTCAGGTTTCTTTTTCCGATGGTCACTTTTGGAGTTGTTTCTTTGAGGTACTGCATTCAGCATCTAAAACAACTGTGAAATGTATAATTTAATCTTTATTTTATTTTCCTAAAAATAAGGGTCAAGTACTATTTGAAAGCACTCCGACCACCTTGCCATATAATGAGTGTTTGAGTGTGTTTGCATGAATCATATACCCCCTGTGTATTCATACTTATGTTTTAATCAACCTCAGATATCTATTGATCTCTTTTATATGAACATCAAATCACTGCTATTTCTGTGAGAAGCACTCCGGTAATATGTCCACAAGGGTTATGGCCGTGTTGACTTCTTATTCATTTATTAATCTGAAAACCCCAGTTGTTATTCTCAGAGCACTGCTCATCTAGAAAATCATGTACATACTTAAAATGTCATTCTAAAACATTCTGTAATTTTTCTGTGGTGCAGATTGGTTTGCAATTGATAATCCATAGTAATAGTAAATATAACATTTAGCAAAAATGCTGCAATGGCTAGGTGTTACAACTTAACGCTTATGATAAGCCAAACCATCAGTCAGTGTGTTTGATCACAGCATTATGTTCTCACAGAGATTATTTAGCCTGGACATTTGTACCACAATACAAATCACATTAGCTTCAATTTGCCACTGGGCAAGGTGATTCACATTAGAAATCTGACAATAATAGCTGAGTTATTCTTCTTTTTGAGCATTTTAAAAAGCAGGGATATCCACCTCTGTATGCCGAATTACAGCTGTGCATCGTATTGTCTTAGTGATTGACTAAGATGACGTCTGTGCTGTGTGACGTGTGTTCAGTCACACAAATTGACCCTTTTAGCTAAGAGAAATCACAGAAGCATGAAAGATTGATCTTTAGTTACCTTGAGATATTCCACAGAACTCTCTCTTTTTTTTCTCTTTTTTTTTGAGCCAATGGAGAATAAACTAGCATGCAATATACAATTTGCACCATCATCCCAAACTTTGTCTTCTCCATTTCACTCTCTCTACAGAGGAGCTATTCAGCATTCATGCTCTTAAACGGGTCCTGCTCCTTGTTGTTGTCTATGGCAATGTTAGTGTTTAAAAGCATGTATCACGTTTCTAATAGATGTAATATCCCATGAAAAGCACAGTCAAGAAATTGAAAATGTCCTAGTGTCATGTATTTTTCTATTTGAAAAATCGAATGCATATTTACATTTGAATGAGGTATAAAAAGAAAAGAAATGAAATATCGTAGGCTTTTCAAGTGTATTTTGGGTTTGTCATGAATGAAATGGCATTAACCTGCATCTTATCAGAATGTCCTCTGTGTAATTTAACCATAAAGAGTTAATGGGGAGGGGGGAGAAAATATTCTGTAGCGAAAAGAAAAAAGCCAATGAATTCTCATGTGCCAAATTTGTTCTGACACAAGCAGTGTTCAAATAAATATGAATAAAGTTTGCATTCCCGAAGAGATTCGGAGATGTTTGTTTTTCTTTGGTAGATTATATTTTAATTTAATTGTGGAGCAGTAGTTTGCATAATCAATTACAGTAAACTACTAATAAGAGTAAAACGTATACATTTGTACATTTATTTATTAATATAGATTGCATATGTAATATGTACAGATATTTTCACCTGCCAGTCAGTTTATTTGAAATGAATATTGAGAGGCACACAGCCATGGAGATGACGATAAAACTGCGATTAGTTATACACACTAAAACACATTGGAATATCACAGGCAACAGGTTGCTGTAGTAGTAGATCTCACGGTAGCCAGTCGGACTCCTCTTGTGCCAGCGCGTTCCGCAAGCTCTCTTTATTCCTGAGAGTGTTCAGCAGGAGCTCCAGAGATTTGACCACTGGCTGCAGATCACCTGCGCTCTGTCTCTTTCCAAACCGCCCGATGGGTCTCACACCGCGACCCACATACCAGAACGGGTCGATCTCTGGACCTGATTGGGGCAGATTAAGACAAATGTCACTATTAAAGTGCATATTTGGCATATGCATGAATATAACAAATCCTGTTTGTCTATTTGTTGTCAAAAATTAATCAAATTTTTCACTGTTATATTCATATAACAACCAGAAATATCTAAGTATTTAAACACATTCCATGTCTTATGATCAGTTTTATGTTCTTGTAAAGCACAGTTATAAAATGCATTAAAACAAATAAGCAACACCAAATTTCACATTTTAGAATGCATAGAATCGTCTAAGTACATTGAATCCTCTAAGTACATTGATTATTTTTTTCCTTTGGCAACCTAAACAATGTGCTGTGGTAAAATCTATAAATTAACTGGTTTTATTCAAGTCAAAAACATCATTTAATATGACTGAATCAACTTAAATTGAACTTGAGGTTAAACCAATGAAAATATTTTTTAGAAGTTAAATCAAGTTCAAATTGTTCCTAAACAGCACAGTGATTTGACTAAAAAAGGGTATAATGCTACAATAAAAACTTACTTCGCAAGTTATACAGTGAAAATGTAGATTTAAAAGAACTATATTAGTAATTTTACTGTAAAAACACTGTGCATTTACAAACTGATTATAAACTGTATGTATTTCCACATCGTTCACAGTCAAAGTGTATATTTTAAAGTTAAATATTTTGTAAGCAAAAATAAGTCTCCTGATTATGGTAGTTAGCTATGCTTAATGGAAGGGCATTTTGGAGGAAGCGTTGGCCATTTATTTTACCTTCTGCATTAATCATTATTTTTATTAGTATATTTTAAGCCACAGCAGATTTAAGCAATTCACACATATTAACATTATACCAGTTAATGAAATATAATGTCATGAACTATAACACACATGCACAAAAAATGCTGTTAGTATCACTGATCTTTTTTTATCCATTTTATTTACTGGTAATCTTAAGATGTTCTTTTACATTGTAAAAAATTTACATGTTAATATTTTATGACAGTGATTACAATTATTTATCACAGAGCATTTTAATGCATTGCGAATTTATATTATATATATTATATTATATATTATGAATATTTTTCAAATCCATGAACGTCTGAAAGCTGTTCCACTGACTGACATTGCGTGCTGCTCTATCTGTCATCCAGTGTTAAGTCAAGTCACTTGAAGCTGTTTTGTGAATACTATGAATAATAAATTCGTTACAATGAAAAGACCGATCGAGAGAAAAAAACTTACTTCTGTTATCAACGTTGTGGACGATGTGGAGGTCGTGCTCGACTGTGGTGCCGTGTGCAGAGGATTCAGTGGCGGACAGAACGAGCAGAAGCAGGAACGCGACGGTCCCCAAGCGCGAGCCAATCAGGCACTTCGTCACGGGCCGAGTGAAGGCGGCGGGCAGCATGCTGAGTCTGAGACAGGGCACTGCACGACACAAAGAGCTATGACAGTAAGCACAACACTTGTATGTTATTCAATTATCTGCACAGTATGTAGCCTATACTACGATTAATTCAAGTAAGAAAATATTTTGTGACTGATCAACGATCACAGCATTGAACGTAATGTTAAGGGTCAGATCAGGTCGAAACTGCACATTTTGTGCACTAACTGTAATCAAATTCCTCACAAAATTAATAAAATAAATTATTTTCACCTATATATAAATATCTTTACTTTAATGAATGAACTTTCTCAGATAAATTTCTGTTGAGATATTAACTTTAGAAATCACCATACACATTTTTACTTAATATCTACCTCTATTGATTAAATCAGAAAGAGTTGTTGAACTTACATGTGTCTTTGGACGTTTGCTCTTCAGTAACACCTGTGTTCTGGGGTCAGAGTCCAAGTAATTCAGGAATGTGAAGATGTCGTGCTTATATATCGCAAGGAGTCTCACAAAATGGATTAGATCACGTCAATCTTGCAGGACATCCCTCCTTACACACGCACACCTCCCACTTCCCCCTTTCTCTTCTCCTCCTCCTCCTCCTCCTCCTCCTCTTCTCATCCCCCATCAGCATCTCCACTGCTTTGATCCCTTGACTTGTACCCACCGCAGTGAAAGAGCGATGAGAGAACTCGTTTGTGAATCAGACACGTTCTGATGCACTACATCAGCAGATCTCTGACACACACACACATTAACTCTTTTTTTGTAAACAAAAAAAACACATCAAATGCCACATGTTGACTGAGATTTTGAATTTGAAAACTACAGCAGAAGCCAAGGATTTAAATTATGAGTGAATTATTCCTTTAAATAGTTAAAGTTTGATTAAAACTACTCAGCAGTAGTGAGAATTTACCAACAGTGGTCCGAGAACCACAAACTAATGTAATGCTGGCTGGATCATAATCATACACTGTTCGCTCGTTGACCAGAGGAGAACTGGCCCCCGAATGAGCCTGGGTTCTCCTAAGGTTTTTTTCTCCATTCTGTCACCTGATGGAGTTTTGGTTCCTTGCCACTGTTGCCTTGGCTTTTGGCTTGCTTAGTTGGGGACATTTAATTTCCAACAATATTATTGATCTGCCTTATTTTAAGGTGGACGATGACGCAATTTTCTTCTAGAAACAAACTTTGTTGTATTATTTTCATGTTTTCATATAGCTTTCACTGTGAAGCTGCTTTGATACAATCTGTATTGTAAAAAGCGCTATATAAATAAAGGTGACTTGACTTGACAAACTGGCGACAGGGTGTTGGGCACCCAAGGCTCATCAATATACGAGGACAACGAAGGCTATCCCTTTTGGTCCAAGCCAACAGAAGGTCTACTGTGGCACAAGTCACACAAAATTTTAATGATGGCTATGGGAGGAATGTGTCACAACACAGCGCATTGCACTCTGCTGTAGCCGCAGACCAATCGGAGTGCCTAATGACCCCTGTCCACCGTCGAAAGCGCCTATAATGGGCACGCAAGCATCAAGACTGGACATTAGAGCAGTGGAAGAGGGTCGCCTGGTCGGATGAGTCCCGTTTTCTTTTACATCACGTGAACGGCCATGTGTGCGCCATTTACCTGGGTAAGTGATGGCACCAGGATGCACTGTGGGAAAACATCAAGCCAGGTAGAGGGAGTTTGATGTTCTGCTGGGAAACCCTGAGTCTGGCCATTCATGAGGGACATAAACTTGACAAGTGCCACCTAAACATTGTTTCAACCTAGGTACCCTTTCATGACAATAGTGTTCCCTGGTGGAAGTGGCATCTTTCAGCAGAATAATGCATCCTGCCACACTGCACACATTGTTCAAAAATGGTTTGAGGAACATGATGAAGATGTGTTGCCCTGGCCTTCAAATGCCCCAGATCTAACCAACAAGTTTGATCCACGGAGTCTCCACCTCGAAACCTACAGGAATTAAAGGATCTACTGCTAACGTCTTGGTGTCAGATACCACAGGATACCTTCATCGGCTTCATTTATAAAACGCTGAAATCCACACCAACGTTCATATTTATAAAAATGGTCTTTGACGTGGAAAAGTGCTTAGCACCACGTCAGGGTCTAAGCAGGCACACTCACAGAGTCGGAGAACTGCAGGTATTTGAAAATCCAAACAATTCTTGCCACTCACCATACTCAAGTAAATGATCTGGACGTTGACTGTTGCTCTTTTATGTTAATGATATTAATTAGGCATTTACAAGGCGGAGATATGAAACCATTCATCTGCACACAATTCCAAGATCATTTGTAATTTATAGATTTCACATCTGGAAACATTTTAGAAATGAGGCCCTAGAGCTCTTGTAGAGTCCACACGGCAGCACGCAGCGGACCAACAGCATTTTAGGCAGGTGGTCATAATGTTTTGGCTCATCGTATATTTCTTTTTTAAGCATGTATTGTTTGATCTTTGTGCATGTTTGATCATAAAATAAAACCATAAAATAGTTAAAAATAAACATAAAATAGTTGTTGATTTTGAGTGTGTCTAGTTCTCCTTCTATGTTCCAGGAGCAGCCAGCAGTGAGCATTAGGTGCAGGTCTAATGATGAGGAGGAGAGAATAGCCCCACCATCGCACATGCAGCAAATGAGGCCTAAATCCATCAGCATTTATTACCATAATGATCCTACAAATATGAGATGTCCCCAAACCAAACAGATGCACCACAAATAAAATCCTCTTTTCTAGAGTATGCATCCAATGAGCTGATGTTCCAATAATCTGTCATTATGGGCTCAAGCACTGAATGTGCTGGAGCCCTACTGTGTTTTTTTTCTGATATTATTTAGCATGTTCAATATTATGAATAATGTGTATAACGTTGTAAACAACTGCATTTTGAGGACACAACAAATTTAGTCAAATCCGAGCTACATGGTGTGATAACTTAAAAATATCCTCTGCTCCCATTTGATCACGGTGTGTCTTTTGTGCTTACAGGTCCTTAGAGGGCTTTTACACTGGGCTCGTTTGCTGCGGTCCGAGCCCGAGCGCGTTTGTTTCCGGCACCCCCTGCAGCGTTGGTCTGGTTTCACCATAGATATCCATAATAAAGGCTAGATGTCTCGTCCGCGCTGCTGGCCAATGGAGGTCGACGTCCGCACCTGGCGGCCATCTTGTCACAGGCAGCTCGCTCACTCGTTACATTGTGTTTTAATGGTGCATGTACTTTTTAAATAACCATAACTTGCTAAATTTTCTACCGATTTTCAAACGGTTTGGTTTGTTATAAACGTCAGAGATGTAGTTATGACACTGCATACTTATGAATAATAAGTGTATAAATAAATAATCATCCAGAATTATAGCCACGTTAATAACGTTTGTAAGAAACCGAACCGTTTGTAAATCCGTCAAGATTTCAACGAGATAAGAGTATTTGTGTTCGTGCTGATCACTCATCTTACATCAGGTACCACAGAGCCCGCCAGAAAGCTTGCCTGTGACAAGATGGCCGCCGGTGATGGCGATAGAGACTCCGCCGTAAGACATCTAGCCTTTATTATGGATATCTATGGGTTTCACACTCAACTTGATTCTATCGAACCTTGGTGCGTTTGCGTGCATATTACGTCATCGCAAACGTGCACGGCGCATGATAGAAAACAGAACGCGGGGCAATATTGTGTTTTTTTTATTAATTGGCTGCTATTATGAACAATACAGGTTTACTGTGCATGTGTCACATAAGGTGGCCTTCTGCTGCTTGCAAACGGACTCTTTTGAGGAGATAGTGGATTTCCAAATTTGGTGCCCTGATTTCACGCGCAATGCACAAATACACTGCTCTCGCTCGTATCCAAGGTAAATCATCAACATCATCATCCCTTACAAGTGTTTTATTTAACTGAATACATCACAATAAGCTAAAACGCATGCGCAGGTTACTTTACTTCCTGAACAAGTGCGCACCCGAGTCCGTGCTGCTTTCACATTCACGCGAACCGCGGCCCGTTTCGGGAGCAACCGAACTCAGACCACCTCCTCCAGGTAGTCTCGGGTTCGGTACCCCAGTGCGCACCCGGGTCCCATGACAGCGTTCACATTAGCGTTTGAGCAGCGTTCACTCAAGTTTGAGTAGCTTTCATGGCTGATTATTGTTGATTTCTGTCTATGGCTGACAAATATTTGCTTATGAAATGTATGGTCATGGTCCACCTATTTTTGTATATGTGGACACCGGAACAATCTGAGATTATAAAGGATTGTTTTTCAAGTAAATATGTTATGATTGACTACCACAATAACATTTATTACATCCAATTTGGATGGAATCCACTGGAATCCACACGGTCCCATTGAGTAACACACAGTATATTGCTAAAAGGTTTTGGGACGTCTGCCTTTACATGCACATGAACTTTAATGACATCCCATTCTTAATTCGTAGGGTTCAATATGTAGGTGGCCCACCCTTTGCAGTTATAACAGCTTCAACTCATCTGGGAAGGCTTTCGAGGTTTTCCTTTTCAAGGTTTACGAGTGTGTTTATGGGGATTTTTGACCATTCTTCTAGAAGCACATTTGTGAGGTCAGGCACTGATGTTGGATGAGAAGGCCTGGCTTGCAGTCTCCACTCTAATTCATCCCAAAGGTGTTCTATCGGGTTGAGGTCAGGACTCTGCAGGCCAGTCAAGTTCCTCCACACCAAACTCGCTCATCCATGTCTTTATGGAATTTGCTTTGTGCACTGGTGCGCAGTCATGTTGGAAGTGGAACAGTATGGGGCCATCCCCAAACTGCTCCCACAAAGTTGGGAGCATGAAATTGTCCAAAATGTCTTGGTATGCTGAAGGATTAAGAATTCCTTTCACTGGAACTAAGGGGCCAAGCCCAACCCCTGAAAAACAGCCCCACACCATAATCCCCCCTCCACCAAACTTTACACTTGGCACAATGCAGTCAGGCAAGTACCACTCTACTGGCAACCTTTTAAACCCAGACTTGTCCATCGGATTGCCAGACAGAGAAGCGCGATTCGTCACTCCAGAGAACACGTCTCCACTGCTCTAGAGTCCAGTGGTGACGTGCTTTACACCACTGCATCCGACACTTTGCATTGCATTGCACATGGTGATGTAAGGCTTGGATGCAGCTGCTTGGCCATGGAAACCCATTCCATGAAGCTCTCTATGCACTTTTCTTGAGCTAATCTGAAGGGCACACGAAGTTTGGAGGTCTGTAGCTATTGATTCTGCAGAAATTTGGCTACTTCTGCGAACGCTGCTGCATGCGCTGACCCCGCGCTGTGATTTTACGTGGCCTACCACTTTGTGGCTGAGTTTCTGTTGTTTCCAATTGCTTCCACTTGGAATATTATGGTTATAATACCACTAATAGTTGACGGTGGAATATTTAGTAGTGCGGAAATTTCACAAATGGACTTATTGCACAGGTGGCAACCTATCACGGTACCACTCTCGAAT